CCCCATGAAAGCTAAAAAAATAAAGAAATTGGGAAAAATAATAAGACAAAAATTAGGGATTTATGTCTTTAAAAATTTAGATCCCTTTATTAAGGCAAATATGTATATTTTTTTTTATTTTATGTCTTTATATATATGTACATATATAATTTAATTTAAAAAATTATAAATTTTCTTTTCCTAAATATTCAGTTGCATGAACCCCATTGAGGGTGAAGGACAACTGGACACGTATGCCTGGAAGCCTGGAGGCTAGCAATTCTGCGTCGCAAAATACTATTTCACCCCCTGCCAGGCGCGGAGTTCATTGCCGCCACCAGTGTCCCCCCTTTCTTTGCCTGTCCTCTGCTGCTTCATATTTCTTCATTGCCGTAATGAAGACCAAAAACAGGAGGCAGAACCCCCAGCACAACGGAAAATAGAAACCCAAAATAAAAAAAGGAAAAACTAAACAAAACAGGCCAAGTAACAAGTAAATTAATCGCAATGGCAAAAGTTATTTGTTGCTATTTCACAGGGGAATGCCAGTAGTGGCTATGTAATGTATGAAAAATTAAGAAAAAGTATGAAAAAGTATGAAAAGGTATGAAAAAGAATGAAAAGCATGAACAAGTATGAAATAGTATGAAAAAATATGAATTATTATGAATAATTTTAAATAATAATATGAATAACTATAAATAATAATGAATAATTATAAAAAAGAATAAAAAAGTATTTAAAATTCATAGAGAAAAAATCAATCCACAAAACCCCGCTAAAATTAAAGACATGAAATATAATACAAACTATAGCAACAAAAGTTCGTTTAATTGGTGGCCCAAACCCCCATTAGCCATGGCCGAAAGTGCGAGCCAAGAGGGCTATTGCTCCGTTAAGTGCATTAAAATCGAATTAGTGTGGCGGAATAGGCCAAGAAATGAGCCGAGTTAACCACGAGGCTGACCCAGGGGGAGACTAACCAAAGAAGGACATCTGCTGTCTCTCGATTAATTTCTATTCGTGAGTGTGTTTATATTGCCTAGGCTTTGATTGCAATCTGTTACGAACGAACAATCGATATGAAAATTTGGAAATATATAGTATATATAATATATATATATATAATTTATATATGTTTACATTCAAAGCAGTTGTGAGTCGCCAATGGCCAGGAAATGAAATTACAACACGCAAAAATAGGCTGGGGAAATATCGTCCTGGGATGTCGATAAATTCAATTATCTGGCCAAGGATAAACAGATATATTCTATATACGCATCGATATATACAGATATTTATCCTTAGATGCTGCCTCGAATGGCCGGCTATTGCCTGCGGTTGGCTCCAAATTAATTTTCAAGTGGCCATCGCCCCTACAAAATAAGAAGACAAAAAGCTTGGGCGAAAAATCAAAGTCAACTTGCCCGGGGTAATCCCAGGACGGAGGTGGGGGATGTTCCAAGGAAAAACAGAGAAAAATAGAGAATCACAAAAAAAAAGAAGCTGACAATTTAATTTGCGAGCCGAGAGAGTCCTAAGCGAATGCGTAACAGGACGAGTGACAATGACTCCGGTGTTCCAGTGTCCGGATTTAACCGATACGGTTACACTGTTTGGTTATATAGTTTTATTTTTAAACAACAAGGTGAAGCAGCATTTTTAATTTAGAAGCTGTTTGAAAATTCATAATTAAAAATTTAACTTTTGTGTTAAAAACTGATTTAATATACTAAAGAATTCCCAAAAATATCTCACCAAGATCACGCTGCGCTTAATTGGAAAAAGAGAATCACCTTAAAAATCACCTCGAATCACATCGAATCATCTCGAATCGTTGGCGGCATTGTGCTAGGATCCGGCAAACGTTCTGATTCCATTCACTCGTCACCCCAAGGAGATGGCAAATTATCCGGTTTCCTGAAGGGGGGGGAGAGGAAAAGTGTGTGTGGAAATGGAGCACATTGAATGGCATCCGTAAGTCGCAACAAAGGCGGCTCTTTGCCATCTCCGTCATCATGGTCGGTGTCTCGCTGTCACTCTCATTATTGTACCGATGCCCATTTCTATAGCCAGGCTGCCCATCAGGTGTGACCTTGATGCCCGCTGGGATATCCAACCTAACAAGGATTGTTGGTCAATCGGCCAAAGTGCAGCACATGTTCCTGTCCATATCCCCCATTAGTCGCCATCAGTTAGTTCAATTGCGTAGCCTACTTTTCAGCTGGGACAGATTTTAAGAGGAATTTTCACAAGTCGAAAAATAATTAATATAATAATATTCTAATAATAATAAACTAATATTCTAAAAATTTTCTTTGAAAATATTTAGAATAAGGCATCTTCAATTAAAAACAAATCAAACTCATAAAAATGTTTTTCTATATTTAAGAAAAATTTCCTAAAATAATTAGACCTAATTTTATAGGGTTAATTTTTGATGTTTTTTTTTTTATTTATTTATTTTTTAATTCGCTTCGTTTGGTTCATTTTTCAATATAGTTTCACTTATTTTACTGGTCATAAAAACCAGGGCTAATTAGCCCTAAAATTGATGGTACTAAAAATTTCACACTTAAAATTCCCAACTTGTTCTTACTTACTTACATATGTATGTTTCCCTAGGACGATTTTAGTAACAATTTTTATGAGTGCACCTTTAAATATATTTATATATATTTTGTTATCAATAAATATGTTCTTACATTAAATAAAAACAGAAAATATGCACAAAAAACTCCATAATTGCAGGATTCAAGAGGCATGCTTAAACTGCATTCAGAATTTATTCTGTATTAATGATTATTCCGCGTAATCGGGCCTTAAGTGGCACTTCTGTAAACCCGCACACCTGTGCATCCGCCGGCGTTTCACACCCAATTAGATTGATGGGTTCGAAAGGTGCCTGAACTACGCCCCCCCCTCATTCTCCTTTTCCTGTTCCTGTCACCACCTTTTCACCCTTCATTCTTCATCCTTTGTTAAGAGGGGGAGAGCGAGTTCAATGCGATTATGACGAGCAAAATAATGATGATGGGGGTCATGTGAGGACGACCCCTTGGAAGGAACAGAACGGCTAATAATTTCTGACATTTTGATTTATAAATTCTCCCAAAAGAAACCCCGGGCATTTTCCTTTAGTCTCGGCACAAAGTGAAATTTAGGTGGAAAAACCGTGTGGAGAAAACTGCCGAAATTGCTCCATCGAACTCTGGGGATAACAAAGAGCGGGAGCTATGAGTTCAACGGCATTAAATGTTATTGCACACTCGAGACTCTGTGTGTGTGTGCCATGTGAGCCAGCTTCCAAGAATCTGCTTTCTATATACTCCTTAAATCGCAGGGAGAATCAAGTCTCATTTGAGCTGGGGGTATTTTTTTTCTAAAAATTTGGCCTACACTCATGAAATTAATATTCTCAATTTAGGAAAAATCATCCTTAAAAAACCGTCCTAAAACTAAAAATAAATTTTTTAGGTTTAAGGAAAAAGTTACCATGAATTTAAGGCCAACAAGTAAGTGGGAGGAGGGTCCTCGTCGTGACAAAGAGCAAGGATCAGGCTATTACATAGTAACATACTTGCCATAAAAAAATTAAATTTAGTCTTTAAAATTAGACAATATTTTCTCTTTAACGTCTAAATATCCTAAATAATTTCCCTATAATTTTGAAAATTATTTTTAAAATGTCTAAATATATTTGCTCTGAAATTTTAAGCCTGCCTATCATCTCAGCTCTCAGCTCCGCTCTCAGCCGCCTTATAGTTTTTAATCCCTTTTTAAGATCTTTTGAGGCCCTAGTGTTTTAACACAGTTTTAATTTTTAAGTTAAAAATTAAGCTTTTTTAATTAATTAATTAAAATATTCCCCCATAAACCTCTGAATCCTTCTGAACTTTACAATGCTGCCGTTTTTAATGAACCATTGTTCGCGGCAGCGACACCAGGCGGCGCCACCTCTGCGGCAAAAGACTACGATTGCCAGGCGGTAGATGGCGGGGGCGCCGCCACTCAATCAAGCCGCAATTGCCGAGTGTTTTGATTAAACGTTTCACTTTAATTGCTCCATCATCATTGTTGATATACACATCTATATATATATATATATGCATTTGTGGTGAGCAGTATGTGTGCAGTGTTGGTGCCCCATGACCCCACGGTTCACTGGTGCAGTGACGCGAACGCGCAAAGCCAATGAACTTTGCCATGCCACGGGGAATACATCAGGATGACTTTAACTACCGGCAGTCAGGAATATAATAAAGATAATGATGGCATGACCATTAGCTACAGAATTGGATGTTTTCAGTTGATTGATTCGGGTCAGAAATGAATAGGGAATGTATTCAAAGGGTGGATATGCATGGATTGTTTATATTTACTTTAATTTTAGTAACATTTCGGAGACACCTTTTAAGACGTAAATCCTTTGAGTCATAAATAATATTAACCTATTTGCTGTTTTATATTTTGTTGTTTTTTTTTTTCAGGGAAAGAATACCCTGAATGCCTTCCAGCTTATGACCACTCGAGCCTGTTTTCGTCTGAGAGGAATTCTTCAGTTGATCACTACTACTACCTGAGCTCTCCTGGCCCTTCCCCTTCCCCTCCCGCTCTCCCGAACCCTCATCCTCAACGATAACTCCCCTGATTATATTATATTCAACCGCGAAACCCATTAAAAAATTACTGATTATTTCGCCTTATCGCAGTGCAGTCCGGGAGAACACACAAAAACCAGACCCCGATATGCATGCAAAAATAACCATAAATGTAGGAAGTTGACTAACAAATACTCTATGGGATTTTAAATAATTTTATAGAACTAAAATTAAATTAAATAAATTTATAAGCTTTTACTTAAATTTCGTGAATTTTCTCCTCTCCCAAATAACTTTATTTTTAATTAGAAGAAGAAGAAATATAACCACTATCCAGCTTAGTGACTTTTTGGCAGGGTATTATCCCGCCATAAAGACAAAGGAGAGAAGTATAAAACATAATCCCCAGCAGTCTGAGCACCAGACATCTGACTCTAGAGCTGCTGACAGCAACTACTATCGCCACAGAGAGAAGATTCTTGAATTAAATTTTAAATAAAATTTAAATTTAAATTAGAAGAGACCGCGCCATGCCACGCCCAATGCTGCTCATCCATGGCGGGGCCGGCGACATTCCGGATTCCCGCATCATCGGGAAGTTCCTGGGCATCAAGCAGGCCCTCCGCTCCGCCTGGCATCTGCTACAGCCGAAGGAGAATGACGGCCCTGGTGGTGGCAGTGCCTTGGATGCCGTGGAGGCGGCGGTGCGCAGCATGGAGCTGGACGAGAACTTCAATGCCGGCTATGGCTCCTGCCTGAACACCAACGGCCAGGTGGAGATGGAGGCCAGCCTAATGGAGGGCAGCGATCTGCGGGCTGGCTGCATTACCCTGCTGCGTGATGTGATGCATCCTATAACGGTGGCCCGGCGACTCATGGAGAAGCAGCGGCACACTTTCATTGGCGGCGATGCTGCCCAGGAGCTGGCCCTGGCCACAGGCAGTGAGCGTTTGCAGCCGGGAGCCCTCGTCACGGACGGCGCCCGTTATACACTCAAGGAGTTCCAAGAGCAGTTGGCCCAGGGCAAGGATCCCTTCTTTGCGCGCACAGAACTGGCCGGCGGAGAGGAGAAGACTCCAGTCCGAGAACCCGTCTCAGTGCCAGCTCCCAAGACCGATCCCAGTGGCGAAACGGTGGGTGCCGTGGCCATAGATGCACAGGGTCTGATTGTGGCTGGCACCTCCACTGGTGGCATCACTGGCAAGTGGCCAGGTCGCATTGGAGACACGCCCATCCTAGGCAGCGGCACCTATGCGGATAATGGACGCGGTGGCGTCTCAACCACCGGACATGGCGAGACCATCATGCGGTACAACTTGGCGCAACGCATTCTGGCCGCCATCGAGTACAAAGGACTCTCTGCCCAGGAGGCGGTGGATCAGGAGTGCCGGGAGATGACCAAGCGGCTGGGTGGCACTGGCGGTGCCATTGTGGTGGGTCACAACGGTGACCTGGGCATCGGCTTCACCTCGCAGCGCATGGCCTGGGGCTATGTCCAGGATGGCACTATATTCTATGGCATCGAGGGAAAGGTGGTGCACCAGGAGCCTTTTGAGCTGCAGGCCTAACTTGGTGGTGAGATTGTTTTTGGTCATACAATTTTCTATTAAAAATTTTAATATTAAAAAATTTAAATATTAAAATGTAAAATATAGAAGAAAAAGTCCCCGTATTTAATTTATATTTTACAATATTTATGTATTAATTTTATAAAAAAAAAACATAAATAAACATTCTATACAAATTATTAAAATTTTTAAATTATAGTAGGAAAAGTCCCCGTTTTTTTATATTTTAAAATATTTATGTATTAATTTTATAAAAACATAAATAAACATTATCTAGCTTATAGCAAACTTTGATTTATTTACAATATTTACTAAAAACAATTACACTAGAACACCAACAAGCTTAGGACTAAGGCTTAGCTTTAGAGAGCTTCAGGCTTTGTTCGTTATTCCTTTGATTTTTTTTTAAATTTATTTACAAAACAAATTCATGGTTTAAATTAAAGAAGGAGTCCTTGAAAAAGCAAGAAGTTACACAAATACTTGTAGTGGCGACATAAGTTCGCGCGACATATCTCCGCTGAACTAAAAATGTTATATGTTAATTTAAAACGATATAGTTTCGCGCGGAGATATGACAATTTCAAAACGACTCAATTCTGCCAAAGAAAAGCAACATATCTCCGAAAAATGTACGAACAATGTCGATATGCCCAAATACTTGTGTAATTATGTATATACAGTGCAAAAAAAACCATGCTTACAATTAAATTCGATCTCAAATTTTCTCAAATAGCTGAGGACTGTGCCAACGTATATGTGAATGGCTTGATGCTTGAGGATTTTCCTTAAAGCTTCGGTTGTTATCCCGGATTCTCATAGACATACCACGCGAGATATAGAGTATATACCTGAAGGGTGCATATATTACGACAGTCTTGCAGAAAAATGAACGATCTATGAGCCCTACTTAAACGGTTTAAAGTATTGCCAACAAGGAAGCCTACAATTAGGAAGTATAACATGCTAATTTGTTTGTTTTGGGTTCAAGAATTAGCTGGCACTCGCTCCCTTGGGCGCCACATCCCGCTGCGACTCGTGGGCCTCCGTTAGGCCGTAGCAGTGCTTGGCCGCTGGGTCGCGATATTTGTTCTCATGGGCCACAGAGTGGGAGTTGGTACGGCACTTGACCAGGCACAGTTCGAAATGGTCCGTTACGCTGGCGAAGGTATACTTGGGCGTGTTGGGCGATCGGAGCACACGCTCCAGCAGCGGCTGCTGGCCTGGATGGAGGCAGCAGGACACGCAGTACTCGTACAAACCGCAGCAGTGTGTGGTGGCATTGCAGGTGCGACAGCTGTAGTAACCGATATTGGGCAGTTCCGTGTTGCAGCAACCATTGGGCAGCACCTCCTTCCTGCGGCAGACGAAGCCCCGCTCGTCGGCCACCAAGCGGCGACCCTGCACCGAGTTCCGGCAGCGCGCCTCCGGATCGCCGCGGGTCCGATTGAGCTGCTCCTCCGGGGCCAGGAGCTGTTGTGTCCAGAGTAAGGGTCGCGTGCGCTGCACCACATACTCATCGTAGTGCAGACCCGCAAAGGTGTCCTGTGACAAGAGAGAGAGAGAGAGAAAGAGAGAGAGAGAGATCTATTATCTAGCAACTATGAGCAGCAGCAGGACACTCACCTGGTCAAAGAGGTGACCAAATCCGGTGACAAGCAGCACTACCACCAGCACAATGTACACAATGCGGCGTCTGAATAGGCGAGACAGGGCGGCTGGCCACATCCTGGCCACCAGCTAGCGCTCCATCACAGCCACCGGCGCCGGCGAGAATCCCTCACAACAGACGACGACGTCTCCTCGATATGGTCATGGAAATGGGTGTTAATTCGGACCCGAACTTTGGCTGCAATCTCACAGCGCTTCCCTTGGCCAAGCGCAGCTGGGGCATTGGATGCAGTGACTCCTACGTATGTGTGGAGGTGCCGAATCCTGCGACAAGCTCGTCTCCTCTTAAACAATATTGCTAATAAATTTCGTTAATTGCTTCTTTTGTTTTGCTGCAGGTCATAGAGGTGACACTCGAGCTGTTATCGATTTCCTCTTTCTTTGCGATAATCAAAACAAATATATTAAATTATTTTTTATTTAACTAATTCCGGCAATTAAACATTAATTATATAAGGTTTTCAGTAATACCATTACCCTTTCACACTCCCAATATTTTTAAAATATTAAGCGCCTGAAATCGATTGGATTCGATAGGCAACGATGAGCACATAGCAGGCTTACGATTTTTGAGCCATTTTGTACACTTGATAATAAACAGTTGTTAAAAAAAAAAAAAAAAAAAAGAAACGTATTAAGACTAGAAAACGTAGTATTCTGCAATCTCTTGGTCCAGGCTCCTAAAATACTTCAATATTTGCTTGTATAACTATCTCGATAGTTTCAAGTTCAATCACCATTCACACCATCGATAGCTTAACTTTCATCGTCGAGCCTTTCCCATCCCTAACACTCTGCTTGGCAAGTTGAACCTGACCAAAAAGCGGGCCACTTCAGCCGGACAGACGGAAGAGCGCCAACGCGACTACTGCCACTAGTTGCTCGCTCCCGACACCACCACCACAACCACTGCCAGCGCCGTGTGCCCAGTTAGCTCCGGGTTCCAGAGCGCCGTCCAGCAGAGCAGACGCTCCACGTGTCCCCGATCCGGAGAGAAAGCGCCATCCAACGATCCAGTGATGCAGGCTCATGGACTACTCCTAGTACTGGCTTTGCTGCCCACACTGGCCCTCGGCCTCCTGGAGGGCTTGTACTGCGGCAAGGAGAACTGCTACGATGTGCTGGGCGTTACCAGGGAGTCCTCCAAGTCGGAGATCGGCAAGGCCTACCGCCAGCTGGCCAGGCGCTATCATCCGGATTTGCATCGCGGCGAGGAGGCCAAGGCGACGGCGGAGATACAATTCAAGCTGGTGGCCACCGCCTACGAGATCCTGCGGGACGAGGAGTCGCGCACAGATTACGACTACATGCTGGACAATCCGGATGCATACTATGCGCATTACTATCGCTACTATCGTCGCCGCGTGGCCCCCAAGGTGGATGTACGCGTTGTCATTGTGGTGGTGCTCACCATTGTCTCCGTCATCCAGTACTATTCCGGCTGGCAGCGCTATGACTCGGCCATCAAGTACTTTGCCACGGTGCCCAAGTACAGGAATCAGGCGCTGGACATAGCACGAGATGAGATCCAGGAGCGGATCCAGAAGAAGGGCAAAAATCGCATGTCGAAAACGGATCAGCGTGAGGAGCTGGAACGTATTATACGACGGGTGATCGAGGAGAAGATGGACGTCAAGGGCGGCTATGCGAAGCCAACCCTCTGGGATGTCCTGTGGGTGCAGCTCATCATCTGCCCGTACACGATACTCTCGTTTATTGTGTGGCATGCGCAATGGTTTTGGCGCTACACGGTGATGAAGCAGCCCTATGGCCGGGAGCAGAAGCTGCATCTGATACGCCGACACCTGGGCATGGGCCAGCATCAGTTCGAGGCGCAGGAGGATAAGCTAATCGAGGAGTATCTGCATCTCGAGCTGTGGAAGCGTGACAATTTCGTGGCCTGGAAAGCGGAACAGGACGAGGAGATGAAAAAGAAGCTGGCGGAGAATCCGCGCTACAAGGCCTATCGGCGTTACATGAAGAACCATGGCCCCGGGCGCATCACCTTCGAGGATTAGCCAACCAACCAGTCAGCTGTTGCCTGTGTGTGCGTGCGTTCAAGTTTTATTGTTCCATGTGAAGTTCTGGATGCAATTCCTTAGCCTCGCCCCTACCGTCTAAATTTTAATAATAATATTTAATATAACACACATATATTTATATATATATATTTTTTGTACGCCGACTAAAAAATATGAGAGAATATGTAAATGCCCCCGGCTTACCCCTCGGCCGCAGGGCGAATCGTTGACCCCGGGCCGGAGTGCTCCGCCGAAACCGGTTCAAGAACGTGGCCAAAGCTCGGCCACAGTGGTCGCCGGCTACCATGGACTATAAATCATCATCCCTAGAACAATTGCCCCAAACTGAAGAGTGTGTGTATGTGAACTAACCCGAGCCTGTAATAAACTAGATAGAATTTATATATGGCCGCTTCCGGTCTTCTTACTGGGGTCTCCACTGTGCTCTTCAATTTGCACAGTTGGTTCTTGGGTTAGCCGAAAATTCGATTTCGTGGCAACGGAGGCGACCTTGTTCTGGCCAGCAGCATCTCTTGGTGTTTACACAGTTTGCTTGGAAACAAAATTCGGAGTTCTTTTAAGGGGGAAGTCGAACTTGTGGCCGAACTTGTCGTTGTACGTGCCGGGGAGTAAGGTGAGAGACAGAAGCCGGCCTTCGAAAGTGTGCTTATCTCAATGAAAAGCTATATTTCGAGCGATAATATTTTTAATGATTTATTAAAAACAGTCCGTCTGGGAATGTGAAACGGGCGGGAATCGTAACAATTATTATTTTTACAATAACTATATACTTTTATTATGAAAATTATAATAATTTTTATAATAAAAATATATATATAATAATTTTTGTACATATTGGAAAATAAGTTTTTACTAAACTTGTATATAAAAATTAAAATTTAATCATTTTATACTTTTTCCATCAGAAGTGACTAATAAGAACTTAAAACTTTTCTTTATTAAAAATCTCTTATATTATAATTTTTATTATAAAAAGTTTAATATTCATATATTTTTATTTTAAAAATTATAAAATAAAAGGTTTTTCGTTATTAAAAAAAAAAGTATATTCTTATACAAAATATTATAATTAAGACAATTTTTTTAATAAAAAAATAAGTTTTATTGTATAATTTTTATTATAAAAATTGTAATAATTATATCATTTTCTTATAACTCTTATTTTATAATTATTTAAAAAATTTAGTTATTTTGTTTTATTTATTATTCACTTTTAATAAAAAATATTAATTTTTCATTTCTACATATATAAAAATTTACAAATAACTCTTATTTTCAAATTTGTAAAATAAAAATTAAAAAACAACTTGTTTTTAGTTATTTAAAAAATAGAAATTAGAGTTATTACTCAAATTGTATATACACATTAAAATTTAATAATTATATTAAATTATTTTATTAATATTGAAAAGTAAGTGTTAAACACACACTAAGAAATAAAATTGGTTTATAAAAATGTTTTTTGTTTCCGAAAAGTCCCTAAAAAAATATAGTTTACATATTTTTCTCATCGTCCCAGCTTTGTTTTTATTTTATTTTTATTTTACCCCTGATATTAAACCCAAGACTTGAATTTAACTACAGTTGAACCACGACGTTTGTTGATTTTTATCCAAATATCTCTTCAATTTATTTACACAGATTGCAGGGCCTAGAATTCTAACTAAAAACTAACACCTACAGGGTGTGGGGTGGGTTGGGGAATTTAGTGTTTACTATACGGGAGAGACTCGTGCGGAGGGGTAATACTAGTCGATCAGATATTTGGATTCGTCATCAAACTCCTCGGAATCGAGCAGATCGCCCACCAGCTCCTTGACAGATCGCACTGTCTGATAGCCATTGACGTCGTCAAAGTCTGGCTGTGGCGGATACGATTCATGATGATGGGCTTCCCCCGCCGCCTCCGCTTCCTCGTTCTCATCCACATCGGCCCCGCCATGGTCATCATCCTCCTCGTTGAACATGAAGTCGTTGGTGACAATGCACTCCTCGAGGACCTTATTCTGCTCGCCCAGCACCACCGAGTCCAGGGAGAATGAGTCGTCCGGCTTGCGTAGGAAATCCGATTCCGTTGCTTCTCCTTCGCAGCCACCGGATAACTCACCCGATCCCGTGCCTCGATGCTGGTCCATATGCGCCGACAGGTAACTCTTCTTGGTAAATCCCTTGTCGCACTTGGTGCACTGGAACTGCTTCTTGCCCGTGTGCGTGCGCCGGTGAACGGACAGGACATGGGCGTAGGCGAATCCCTTGTGGCACACCTCACACACATACGGCCGCTCGCCGGTGTGAATCCGCTCGTGCTTCTTGCTGCTGCCAAAATCCGAGAAGCGGCGTTCACAGAACTTGCAGCCGTACGGCTTTTGGCCGGTATGAACGCGCATGTGACGCCGCAGCTCCACGTTCGAGATGAACGCCTTCTGGCACACCTCGCACGGATACGGACGCTCGTTGTTATGGCGTCGCATATGCGCATTCAGGGCATGCTGGTATTTGTACGTGTTCCCGCAAACATCGCAGATCTTGGGCGAGCGCTCCGATTGGCGGCGCTTGGAGTTGGTCGCCACCGGCATATAATCCTTGTCTAGGGCGGAATCCGCCACTCCATCGGCTTCCTCCTTAACAATGGGCGTAACGCGGCGGTACGTGCGCTTCCTTAGCTTGCTGGTGGTTGCCTGGGCAGGTGGCGGTGGTGGCAGCAGCAACGGCGACGGCAGCTCTTCCTCCAGTATTGGTGTCTCGATTTCGTACAGATGCTCCGGCGTCTGGTCGTTATCCCAGGGATCCAAAGCTAACAGCTTGTCCTCCTCCTCATCAGCCTCCTCCCTATCCTCCTCCTCGTCGTCGCTGGAGGTAGAGCTTTCTGCGCCCATTTTAATAGGATCGGTCTCATTGAGATCGGTCAAGGACAGGACCATGGCTTCGTCCGGCAGCAGGGTAACCGTATCCGCCGTCGTCGTCGCTGCCGCCGTCGGCACTTCCTCCTCTTCCGCTTCCTCTTCCGATTCTTCGTCATCCACCTCCTCTATATCCACCTTAACTATTTTCTGGTAGTATGAAGACTTGGTGGTCTTGACCAGTGCACTGCTCACCGCGCCGCCGGATACAGCAACGGGTTCCATCTCCAAACGCTTGATCTTCAGCGTGGCAGGCAGGCGCACCTGGTGCTGCTCGAGTTCCAGTTTTAGCTGCATCTGCTGCTGCTGCTGCTGCTCCAACTGCAGCGGGGAGAGGCCGGCAGCCGACTGGAACAGTTTCTCCACTGTGGCGCACTTTTCCCGAAAGCGATAGGCCACCGTTAGCTCGATGTAACACTGCTGGCATATCTTGTCCGGCCAGCCCTGCATGTGTGCGTAGGCGCGACGCTCCAGTTGGAGGCCGGTGCAGCTGCGGATCTTGTCCAGGATCTGCATATGCGGTGGCTCCAGGTCATGGCCGTAAATAGAGGTGCTGCCGGGCTCCTCCGTCAGGCAGACCAAGCAGGCCAGGCCCAGGTCAACGACCCGCGACTCCAGATTGTTTGGTATTGCTCGGATCAGGGGCTGAAGCACTAGCTCCTCGGTTCCTCTATAGCTTTATATATCCACAAACGACGCACACACGGCCAGAAAAAAGTCAACAACTTGTGTTTCTTTGCGTTAGAGATGCGCGCTGCACGTTTTTCGGTACCTGCCGCTCACGCAACTATCGAAAGCGACTATCGAACGAAGCAATCGTCTTGATCTTGCTTATTATTAAATTAGCTCTAGCATAGAAATCACCGTAAATTCAGCCATTGGAATACCAAATTCCGAAAATTTTGGATTCCTAAAAGAGTACAATTAAATTAAAAATAATAGATTTTATATCAATTTATCGCATAAAAAAAAAACGTTTAATCGATTGCAAAATCGATTTTATTCCCAGCTCTAAATCAAATTCTTTTTTAATATCTGGTACTGATAGTTTTAGTTTGGGTTTTCCCCATTTCCTTAAATATGGATCACTCCAGTCCATTGCACCAGGTTAGTCAGCACCTCTTAGACTTTTTCACCATGCCGGCCGGCAGCGATGCACTGCCTCCGTTAAGCGTGCGCCAATTGGGCGACACTATCCGCTACAACATCTTGGGTCTGACTGATAATGGGGACCTCAGCGTTTCCGCCAACGCTCGCTTCTGGCAGGCCGTTGTCGCCAAGCAGAGACGCCAACTGCGCAGCGGCACGGATGATCTGATGCCGGAGAACGAGGAGCTCCAATCGCTGATCGAACAGGCCGCCATGTGGCGCTTTCCATTCAAGGAGGCCAAATCTTTGCCCATCGGACGCTACACCCTGAGTTTTCAGCGCCTTCCCATAATTACCCATGTCCTTACGAATGTGCTGTCGCAGGCCGGCGATTATGGACGTCGCAGCAAGACTGAACAGTCGCCCACCTTGTCCTTGACTCTTCAGAACGCTGGCGTAAGAGCAGGCCAAACCCCCCAGGAGTTGCGCCACTATCGCCTGCAGGTAATCTATAATATCATTCGTCGTCTGGCTGAGTATTCGCCTTGGCGTCTGGTCGAGCCCGAGGATGTAAAGAAGGACACCATACGTGTGCATGTGGAACTGCAAAAATGCACACAGCCAGAGCTGAAGGATCATGTCTGCCTGGTCAGTGGACCCGTGGTGGAGCCGGTGCAGAAGACGGCCACCAAGATGACCCTGGATGGTTATTTGGAGTGAGTATAAGCAATAAGCAATTAAAAAAAAATTTTTTTTTCTTTTTCTCTTGCCATCCCACTCATTTACATGTCTTCCTCTCTTTCTTTTTCGCCGGCAGGCTGCGCACCACCCACATGCGCCAAGTGGCCATCCACCGCAATGGCATCCGTCAGTCGGGCATCAGCAACATGGATACCTTGATGAAGCGCCTGGGCTCAGCTGCCGTGATTGTGGACCTGGCCAGTGTGCGCCACCAGAGCGCCGTCACACTGGTGCGCAATGGACTGGGCAGCTCGAAGGGTGCTTCGTACATATTGTACAATTCGGCCCGCCTGGAGACCCTTCTGCGCACCTTTAACGACCAGGTGAAGGCGAAGGTATATGATCCTCTACCGCCGCTGGAGGAGATTGATCTCAGCATTCTGGAAGATGATGTAAGCGGATGGCTTACTCTATTTCTTAATATAGCCCTCTAAGGTCATGCTTTCCTTGCAATTCTAGTTGGATTGGGAAATTATCTACGGCTACTTGCTGCCCTTCCCCGATGTCCTGGAATCCCTGCTGGAACAGTTGCCGCAGGGCTCGTGCGGCATCCACCAGTTTGTGCGCTACATTGAGAATCTGGCCGGGGTCACCAGTCGCTACTATCGCCACAAGAAGGTGCTCGTCCAGAGGCGCAGCCAACTGTCACCGATCCTCTACGCCAGAATCTACCTCATCATGACCGTGCGTCAGGTTCTCAATGTGGTGCTAGCCGTGCTGGGCATCGAGCCCGTTGACTATATCTAAATGAGGGGACCCGACTCCCGGATTAGCTTGTAATTGACGCGGTAATGAACCGAATGCTGTCGATCAGTATGTGGGAGTTACAGAGAAATGAAAGAAACCAATGTGATCTTTAATAACTAAGCCTTTAGGTAACTCCTTACCCCAATTAAAAAAAAAAAAAAAAAAAAAACACATTGAAATGTAAACAATTTGTATGGAGTTTTTAGGTTTTTCTAACACGGATCTCTTAAATGCCTCGTCTTTAGGATCTTAATCCTTGACTAAATAAAAAACCTGATAATTCGAATACAGACATATTTTTATTCGCAGTATTAATATATGTACAAATTTGGCTGGATTTTTTATTACTATCATATACTTTGAGATATGACCATTTTTTTTAGACTAGAATTTCTATTTTAAATTTATATTGTGTAAAATCAATCATTAATCGAAAAATATTTGGAAACAATTTTAGAATTTCGACAGTATATTTTCATATACTTAAAAAAATTGTAATTTAGTTTTAGTCTAGAATTAGAAACAATCGGATAATTAAAAGATATCCCTAAAATCTACTTTAAAATAATAAAATAGGTCCGTTTTTTATGTATTTGATGAAAATAATACAAATATATTTACTTACTTACTGCAAAAGTATTCAAACTTTGGCTTGCCAAAGTTAGCTTCTTTTCTTGTTTCCTATAAAAACGTTTAGTATTAATTTTAAAATATATAATTCGGTTTCGGCCTAGTGGAAACCATCTATTTTACATTTCTGCCTTTGCGTACGGTAGTTGGAAGTTGCTAGCGAGTGGACAGGCCACTTGTCTAACTATCGAAAGCAAACATTGTTGCAGTAATTCTTAAACATGTAATAACATACTTATATTTTTGCATTTAAGTGCCCTTTTCTGTGTGATATTTAAATGTAATTGTTTAACCACCTACGATTTAGAAAAATTTTTATGTAGCGTCCTTCAAGACATCGATAGCATCGATAGGTTTATGTTTTGGTTCGATTGCGACCGTGCTTAAGTGTGGCCAGTTGTCGTGGATGCAACTTTCCACTCACTTAACATCGATGTTTTTTTCAGATACATACACAGTTTTCTCGAGTAATTTGTTGTGTCCAAGTGCGTTTAAAATAAATAAATCCTGCTTTAAAGCAGACTCAATATCCTTGACGTGGTAAGTACGCGCAACTGAAGGTTGTGTGCTCAAAAAAAAGAAATAGTTGGACTTGTGAATAAAAGCGCAGAAAACATGGAGAAAATCTAGAAGGCAAGGGCAAACAAGTAGCTCGCGGGGGTGGGAGGGGCAAGTGTACATGTGTGTGTGTGTGGTAAGCTGCCTGCCGTTGTGAGTGCGAGTGTGTGAGTTCGTTGGAGCTGGATACATACAAACGGCATTTTTATGTATTCCCCAAAATTGTAAGCTTGTTTTGCTGCTGACTGAAAGGTAAACAATGCCGCGGACAGGAAATCGTGTTTGTCTGAATTAAAGGCTCATTACCGGAGCCCAGGCCAGATTCTTTATCTAATCTCTGGCTTCAGAATCCTTGCTTCTGCCTCAGTTATTGTGTGTATGCACTCTGCGCAGCAAGCACTGCATTTGTGTGCACTCGACTCTCTCTCCCTCGCACTCGCACTCGCACTGACCCGCTCTCCCTCTCTCGAGCTGGCCGTGTTGCAAGTGCCAGTGCTTCGTTCTCGTTCTTATGTTCACTTGCTCTGTTCCGTTTTAGCTGGTCGGTCGCATTTTCCGCTGCGCCTTTTCCGAGCTGCAAGTGAAGCATACAGCAATTTGTTTTATTTTTTTGTGTTTGTTAAAGTGTATTAAGACGAAAGAAGTGCCAAGCATAGTAATTAAATCACTCAAGGTTCGTGGCTGAAGTCTTAGCCAGGTAGAGAGACCGCCGACACACATTTCTACCTGCGTCTAGATGTCTCTTTCCCTCTTTTTGCGTGCGAGTGTATGTGTTGTGTCTGTGTGTGTGTATTTGTTTGGTATACGCAGCATATTTCGTGTTATGCTGCGGCATCCCAAAACGGAAATGAGGAGTTTAAAGTTGAACAAGGAAAAGAAAAGCAAATAAAATCAGCGACTAGTCACCGATTACCAGAGAGACGTCTGAAAAACATGGCGTTTTGCACAAACTCCGTTTTGTTTTACCATGCATAGTTTCTGGGTTCTCTCACACCAACACACGAACACCGTTAACTGTTAAGCAAATTACTCATTAATGTACTCTGTCTCTTTCTTGCAGGTGTGGTGTAAAGCGCCTTAATCACCAAGATGAGTTACATGCCAGCCCAGAATCGGACCAGTAAGTATACTCCCACTCCCACTAAGCAACTAACAGTACTCCCCCTGTCCCCCCATACGGTATCATTGTATTGGATTTCACTTCCAAGAAGACTTGGCAACCATTTTGCACTCTAAACGGGAATAGCGGATGGAAAAATACATGAACGCCAAACACAAGTTTCCAGTGGTATTAAGTGTGCGGTTTCATCTTACCACTCTTAAATATACACATACCCCTACGTCCTCTATTTCCACTTTTATTTATAAAGAAAATCGAGCCAAGAAATCTTACCCGACAGAAAATATTCGAATTTAGCAATATTTTAAACAAATACCCTTGGAGAAAACAATATTTATGAGTTAGCCAGTGCAGTCTGTAAAGCAGTTAATCTTCTATTTGTCATTTTGAGGGATATTTTACAACAAAGTCCCGTTGAAAAGATAATTGAAAAGGCCGGATTTGTTTGGCAAATACAGCCACATCAATTATGTCCTTTGTATTCTGTAATTTGTTCCCAATTCCTTCCCCCTGCTGGTAAATGCTGGGTATTTAGGGTAACTATCATCCATCATCCACCCCGAATAAATAAATGATGAACATGTTCAATGTATGCGTGTACATACACTCCTTCCAAGGGCTGCCCACATTTACATACATACATACTTGTTAATGCCCGAGCATACGCCACTTGGATGATCTTTTTTACAGCCACCACCAAAAACCGAAGGCTAAAGGGAAAAGGACTTGAATCCGTCGCCAAAACCATATCCTCATTTCAGCCTGCTCCTTTTGATTTTGCAATTTAACATTCTTTTTTTTTTTTATTTGTGCGGAATGGAAGTCCCAGCTACCATCCCCTCCCTCTCACTCGCTCGCTTGCTCCTTTTTGCCACTTCATTTGCAGTACCGTTACTCGTCACGGGTACCCTTTTGAAAGTTGATGCCCGCCCACTCCCACTCACGCACTCGTGTACTTGCACGTGGCTAGTCCACACTCTGTGCTTTCCACTCACTCGCGGCGGCCCCTTCTGCCCCTCTCCCGTTGTCTCTGTATCCCAATCTCATTTTCAACTCGGCTGCACATTTCTTATGCTTTTTTGTGTGTGTGCAGAATTTAATTAGTATGCGGCTGAGGCAGCAACTTCCACTTAAAGGCTCCTTGCTTCTTGTTCTTTCCTCTCCTCTATTCCCCACTCCTGTTGAGTGCGTGCTCGCACTCGAGGGATAGGAACTGAGTCAAAGCGAAAGTGCGCTTAATCGATCTGGGAAATAAAACGATATGGGATTTACAATGCGGCAGTACAGTAGAGCCTGCTTGAAGGGAAATAAATTGTTAGAATTAGGGAAAAATTACCAGGCTTTGTGGTTGATGGTAGTTGCCCCTGGAAAGAATTTTTGAAAATCTATGAATATGCCTATAAATAATTGTAACTTTATTTTATTTATGTACTAGGTTTATCCTTATTATAAGTTAATGAAATCTTGAGCATTATCTGTAGCTTACTAATAATATCTTATACCCGATGCCCAAAGGGTTTGTTTATTTACTTTATAATAATTTAATGCACAGGTGACCAGCCACGAAGGTCACCTAAAGTTAAATAAATAAATATACTAAAGGAAGCTTAGGAGTAAGAACCACTTTTGATTTTAAAATATTTTTAAAGATTTTTAAGAGCTAAATCAGAATTAAATCTTGATCTCAATTGTTTCGCTGTATTTATTATTATTATTTTTAAATTAGGAATAAAACCTATGTATATTTATACGTTTTTCAGTTTAATAGCTTGACTGTGGCATAAAAGCAAGATTATTGGAGGAGGCAGGACCCCTCGCGAGTGCCATTGCGAATGCAAATGCGAAAAATGCAAGAGGGGGCATGGGAGTGGGCGTGGCTGTCTGAAATGAACTGTGTCCGCGCATATATCAAAACAACAAAGGCGCAGGGCGGAGAGCGGAAGATGCTGGAACGAGGTCGGGGCATAATTAAGACTGAAGTGGCAAACAAAACGCCCCGCAAATCCATCCAAATCCAAATCCTTTTGCCAGGACTCTGTCATGTGTGAGCGCACACCCCTTTTTTCAGCTTTTCAGTAGCCGCCACCTCTCTCTCGCCCTCCTTCTGTTTCTCTCTGAACTTTGCGGGAATATCCTGCAGCGTTCAATTTGTCACGCTTCAAAGTTTTCCTTTAGCAAATTTTTTATGAATGCTGCACGGGATGCTGCGGCTGCTGCTGCGATACTCACTTGCTCACTTTGCTGTCAGTCGCTGTCGTTTCCCATTTGGAAAAAAGGAAAGAAGAAAATATGAAAATGGGTTGTGCAGCGGGTTAAAAGGAGGAGGGAATCGAGACCTAAATCAAATGCTACAATGGGATGGGATGGGATGCTGCTGCACTCAGTCTGATGGCCATGCTCTGTCTATTCTTTTGCCTCAAAGGGACCAAATACACACAGTAAAAGTTGAATATTAAAGGAGATATAAAAGGGACAAAGAACCGATGCCTGAAATACTTTAGAACACAAATGGAAGAACGGGAAAATGTAATCCATTACAGCGTCATCTTTAATCCATTGATGGATACTCACCCTCCCTCCCTCCGTCGCTCTCCCTTCCAAACTCACCTGCTAAACCATTATTTCTTATACTTGCAGTGTCCCATAATAATCAATATAATCCGCCGGATCTGCCGCCAATGGTGTCCGCCAAGGAGCAGACTCTGATGTGGCAGCAGAACTCATACCTGGGCGACTCTGGCATCCATTCGGGCGCTGTTACCCAGGTCCCATCGCTGTCTGGCAAGGAGGATGAGGAGATGGAGGGCGATCCGCTTATGTTTGATTTGGACACTGGTTTCCCGCAGAACTTTACACAGGATCAGGTGGATGATATGAATCAGCAGCTAAGCCAGACACGCTCCCAACGTGTCCGTGCTGCCATGTTCCCAGAGACGCTGGAGGAGGGCATCGAAATACCCTCCACCCAGTTTGATCCG